GGAGGGGAGGGGAGGGGAGGGGAGGGGAGGGGAGAAGAGAGGAGAGAAAGGGAAAAGAGGTGAGGAGCTGTTACTTTTTAGATCTTTGATGGACCCCAAAGCCTCACGCAGATGTGGGAATGTGGAAGCTGACTGCGCTGTGGGGCTCAGCGCTGACCTGATTAGGAGCCGGGTGTGGGGAAGAGGAGGGTCGCTGTGCTGTGGCTGGTCGGGTTTCCCTTCTCCTGGGCTCCCCACTGCTCTCTCCTTCCTGTCTGCTCGGCTGTGAGCAGCTCTCGAGGGACAGGCCCTCTGCCCTGCAGTTCTGACTGGAACAAGATGACTTCTGGCTGAAACTTCTACAGACTTGGGAGCCAAAAGAAACTTCTCCTCTAATTTGCAGGCATCAGGCGTTGTGTCCCAGCAAGACACAGTGACTAAGCCAGGGGTCCTGTCCTGAGCTGTCGTGTGTAGCCCATTGTGGGTCTACAGAAAGACTTCTGATCAAGACAAGAGCGCCTGTGTCACCTCCCCCTCAGTCTTACTTTCAGGTCCTCAGTTACAAACTACCCACCCCTGTAGGTAAAGGAGGAGAGGTTCACTTGTGCTCACAGTTTGTCCAGGTTCAGTCCACAGCCAGGAGGCTGTAGGGCGGGAGGCCTGGCAGGGGCAGCTCAGAGGAGAAACTATCTCCAGTACAGCAGGCAGGAGGGAGCAGCAAGCCTGACATTCCTGCCTGCATCAGGACACAAGCCTCTTGGGGGAGCCCACGGACACCCAGGCTGGGCCTGCTCCCTTCCTCAGTCCACGCAGCCCCGCCCAGAACGGCCCAGACCCCATCCGCAGAGTGATCCACTCTCTCACCCTTCACCCAGCCCCACACACCCATATCCAGCACCTCCACAAACCCCACCTGGGAGCACACAAGGCCTTAGGGGTCCCCTAGATGCCAGCCATGAATAACGCCCTCCTTACCCCATCTCAGGGTGTGGGGCTCAGGCAGCCCCTCATGCTGCACACGGCACGTGTACTTCTGCTCCTCTCCAGGAAGCACCACCACAGCCACCCACTTCTGGAAGGTTCCACTCCCATCGGGCCTGGTCTCCACCAGCTCCATGCCCTGGGTCAGGTCCTGCCCATCCCTCTGCCAGGTCATGGTGATCTCCTCAGGGTAGAAGCCCAGGGCCCAGCACCTCAGGGTGACCTCTTCCTCGGAGATGGGGTGGTGGGTCACGCATGTCTCTGGGGGATCTGAGGGGAAGAGGGGAACATTCAGGCCCTCTGCATCCTTCCTGGGCCACTGCAGCAGCGCTCATGTGACTACACTGAGAGTGGAACAGGACAAGGAGGGTGTTTCAGTTACTCTTCTCTCGTTGATGGGACAAATACCCGACACTCAAACTGAAGCAAGGAAAGGTTTATTTAGCTCACAGTTAGTGGGGGTTTCAGTCCATACTCAGCTGGCTCCAAGGCAGCATGCCACATGGCAGAGAGCAACTTTTCCTGGCCGTGGCAAAGAGCAAGAGCCGGGAAGGGAGGAGTAGCAGGCTCTAGCTTCTCTTCCCTCCTTACACTGTAATGCGAATTACTTGCCCAGGGGCAGGTGCAGCATCCAAACCCACAATAATCAATCTCAACCTCCAGAAGGGGCCCCAAGACTGCTTGAGGTTTTTTTGGGGGGACAACTATATACAAATCACAATAGAGGGTTGGGGAGACTGCAAACCCCAGAGACCAGGCTGGGCACAGGCGTCTAGGATAATCTATCCTCAGACAGTTCTTAGACTCAGGTGAGTAGGCCCTGGGTAGGAGGCTCCAGGTCTCTGGGGAGGGAAAGGGACCTCTGTCCTAAGAGGGTGGAGACTGAGAGACCAGAACAGTGGAGTGAGACCTCCAAAGACCCCGGGTGTGGGCAGGGACAGGCCGAGAGAGGGCAGGGGCACAGCCTCCTGAAGGGCAGGGTGAGGGGCACCTCGGGGTCCTCCCTCCATGCTGGGACAGACTCTCCTCTCCTGAGAGAAGGGGCTCAGGACAGCGCCCTGCTCTCAGCTGTGAAGTCCCAAGAGCGCTCTTCCCGTGCAGGGAGAGGCCCGCGGTGCTGCGGGAAGGGTCCCGCTTTCCTCCCTGGAGGCAGCTGCCCGGCCAGAGCGCGGATGGGAGGTCTCCAGGGCCGGTACCTGCGCGCTGCAGGCTCTCCTTCCCGTTCTCCAGGTGTCTGCGGAGCCACTCCACGCAGGTGCCCTCCAGGTAGGCCCTTTTCTGCTCTGCTACGCCGGACTCCTCCCACTCGCGCTGTGTCCTCTGAGCCACAGAGTCCTCCGCGACCCAGGAGCTCAGGTCCTCGGCGAGGGCGATGTATTTCGCACCGTCGTAGGCGTACTGCAGGTACCCGCGGAGAAAGCTCCCGCTGGACCGCACTTCGCAGCCGTACATGCTCTGGAGGGTGTGAGAAGCTGACCCCGCCCCGCCGTCAACTGTGCCCCCGACCCCCGCCCGGCCCCCGCCCGGCCCCCGCCCGGCCCGTGAACTCACCATCAGGGTTCTGGTCGTAGTAGCGGGTCGCAGTCCGCAGATATAGTTCGTCAGTTAGCTTGTTGCCTTTGGCTCTCTTGGTCTCCCGGTCCCAGTACGCCTGATCCACCCGCTCCATCCACGGCGCCCGCGGCTGCACCCTCGGCTCCGCGGCATCGCTGTCGAAGCGCACGACCTCCGCGCCGTCCACGCAGCCCACGGAGAAGAAGCGCGCGTCGCGACCGCCCGGCCGGGACACGACGGTGTCGAAGTAGCTCAGGGAGTGCGAGCCTGCGGGCGGGCGTGAGAGCGAGACCTCCTGCCCACCCGCCCCGCCGCCGCCCGCTGTCCCCGCCCCGCACTTACCCGTCCGCGTCTCGGTCAGGACCAGGACCCTCGAGAGCACCAGGAGGAGCGTTCGCAGCGAGACGAGCACCATCCTAGAGAGCCCGGGACTGTGGCGGGCGTGCTGCGCAGACTTTATACCCGAGCCACAGCGACGCTGATTGGCTGCTCCCACGACCAATGGGCGCGAGAGGCTGCGCCGCATCACCAGAATCCAGGCAGAAAGACCCGAACCAAGTTGGCGGAGCGAGGAGCGAAACCCCAGGGAGACGCGGAAGCCGCGGGATTCGCCGCCTCGCGGTGACGCCGCCCGAGACTGAGACCTCAGCAGCCGCGCCGGCCGACCTCGCGCGCCGCCGGCACCCTGTCCTCCCGCGCGGCGCGCTCCTCGTCACTCAGTCTCCCTGACCCCGCGCGAGGGCCGCGAGAGCAGCGCGGCCGGCCTCCTCGCGGCCTGCATCGCCCTCCCGAGCGGCGTCCGCCTCGCTCGCCGCCCGGGACTCTCCCGAAGGACACGCGCCGCTCGGAGCCCGTCCTGGGACGCAGCCGACGCGGGGTTTGTCTGCGCCAGGACAAGCTGTGCCTCAGCGGCGCGGAGACTCCCCAGAGGCCGGCTGCTGAGCGTGGCGACCTGCAGGGGGCGACACAGGAGCATCCCTGGAAGGGCCGGAGCCCGAGCCCAGGGGGTGATGCTGTCCCTAGCCCGTGCGCGGGCCAAGGGGCCCTGCGGCTCCCCCACAGCGCTCTGGGCTTTGCTTCCTACGTGAAGATCTGAGCCACCTCCACGGTGCCTGTGAAATCGCCCCAGTTCTTCAGTCCTGAGTCTGTCTATGGAAGTCCAGGACACAATCACGGAACCGTAGGGCTGACTGAACGACGCGGCACAGGGCTGCAATCCCAGGGCTCGGGAGGCTGAGTTGGTAAGAGGCGTGCTGGGAGTTCCAGGCCGGCCTGGACCACAGATCAAGACCCTGCCTCAACAAAAAAACAAAAAACACCTCACAAAACCTCCTCTCCACAAGGTAGAGATTCCGAGACCCCTAGTGAGTGCCCGAGTCTCCAAACAGCACCTATCTTATCTGTACTGTGAGTTTTGCCATTTTTTACATATGCACCTTTGATAAAAAACTACTATAAATTAGGTATATAAAAATCAACAGCTAGCCGCCTTCCTCTTAGCTCAGTTCTTTAATTGGCCGCTTCAACAAAGCAGTCAGCCTCAGATTGCTGTGGTTGGATCCCCACAACGCCAGCCAGCCAAACATGCCCTGAAGGCATTCTGAGACAGCCAAAAAATCAACAGCTAAACAAACAAACAAACAAAAATTAAAAATAAGGCCTGCGGTGCCAGCCCCGCCCCGGGGCTTGCTGAGAGGGTGACTGAGACTGGGTGTGGTGGTGCTTGGGTAGGCTGAAAACAGGAGAATCACTACAAGTCTGATCTACGTAGTGAAACCCTGTAGACACTGTACTAAAAAAAATAAAAATTTAAAAATCAACAGCAATAACTAATAAAATAAAAAACTAAACCGTGTACTATAAACAAAGTTAGGTAAGATAACATTTCTTGCTCTCGTTCTTTCTCAAAACTGTGGATAAATGGAACACAATAGAGGATGAAAAAGCAACCGGAAGCCCATTCAGTCATCTGACCTTGGACAAAGGGGCCAGCACCTGTGCCGGGGATAGCCAGGCTCTTCCACTGAGGGTACTGGACGAACTGGCCGCGCACACGCACACGCGGGAGGCTCAGTCCACACCCACACTGCCCAGCGTGCACTAGCATAAAATCAACGTGGGTCAAAGACTCAGTATTAGGACAGAGATGCTTCATCTGTGGGAAGATAAAGTGGGAAAAACTCTTGAAGACAAGACACAGGCATCAACTTTTGAAACAGAACGCCAGCTCACAAGAGATGACACGGAGAATCAGCACGCAGGAGCACATCCAATTAAAAAGCTGCGCAGCAAAGGAAGCAACCAGCACGATGAAGAGGCGGCTGCTGGGTGGGAAGATGATGCTCCTCAGACTGAGCGCCTACACCTGGAATAGGTAAAGAGCTCACAAAACTTAGCCCTTCCAAATAAAAGACCCCATGGAAAAATGGGCCGATGAAAAGAACAGACTCTTCTCAGAAGTACAAGTGGCCAAAATATCAGACATGCCCAAAATCTCTGCAGCACAGAAATGCAAGCTGAAGCATCTTGCAGCCCTACTCCTGCAGAAAGGACTAAAGAGATGAGTAAATTGGCAGTTGTAAAGCTATTCGCACACATCGAAGAGACACAGAGCACAGGGAAAGGTCCTCCTTGCAGCCCTCCCAGGTGTTGCTATCCAGGGACCTGGAGGCCGACAGGGAAGCAGCCTCTGAGAGGCCGCAGGCTGCCGACCTCACCCCCAGTGAAAGGTGTGCAAGGAATGATTATGAAACTTTATGTTTTTTCTCAAGCTTTCACAGAGAGCAAATTGGTCAAGCAATGTCCGTGACTCATCCTCATGTCAGACACTGACAAAAGGATGTACAAAAGGCGGTGCAGGGCTGCAGGATAAATCCTGAGAGTACTTGGCTGACCTTATCAGATACAAAAGTTACAATTCTGGGTATAGGTCTTGCTATATCTTGGTCTTAACCATCCAGCAGAAAGTATAAAAATGAGTTATATAAAGTAAATCCATATTAATACGATGAGCTGTGAAAGGCTCAAGTCAATAACTTCTGAGGATAACCCACTAATACTATAGACTGCTAGACAGAGTTGGATTTAGCTCAATTCAAACACTTATAGTATTTAGATGCCAATAGAATATCCACCTCTGACAGGACAAATAAATAAATAAATAAAAATTTTTAAAAAGAGAGAAAAAAATGAAACTTTATGTTTGAGATGAGTAAGAGTAGAGAATTAGAGGTATCTTCCTCTGTGTCATCATTTTCTTTAAAATAAAATGTCATTTTGTTTTAACTAGGCATTGTGGTGCACACCTGTAATCCCAGCACTCAGGAGGCTGAAGCAGGAGGATCGTTGCAAGCTCGAGACCAGCCTGGGCTACAGAGTGAGCTCGAGGCCAGTATGAATTGTGTAGTGACACCCTGTCTTATTAAACAAATAAATGAATAAATAAATAAATGTATTGAAGTAGTAGAATACTGATTTTTAAGTCTTTCAGCAAAAATTATACAGATATAACTTATTTACAGACCAAATGTGACACACGCTGAAATAACTAGGTCTGCAGCACCCATCGCACCGGCCTCTCACACTTAGGGACCTCGGAGCGCTCCTCACCAGCAGGAAGCAGGGAGAGACTGGCAGATGGGTCCTGCGAGCCCCACGGCCAGGGACCTCAGGGAGGGCAGATCCAGGGGCGGGAGAGGAGCCTGAGAGGACACAGCAGGGCGGGGCAGCACCTGGGCAGATGAGCTCCCAGGACCCGGGGGACCAGGGGACAGAGCCAGGCAGGGAAGAGCACAGGAGGTGGGTCCTGGGGGGGGGTGCGGTAGACAGTGGGCGGGGCAAGCCCGGACCCCACCTCCTAAGCTTGGGAGGCTGAAAGCAGGAGAGTCACTACGAGTCTGATCTAGTGCGAGACCCTGAACACCCTGTAGACCCTTCCCTAAAATACAGAAAAAAGAAAAAAAAAAGATTTGGATTCCAGTGCAGCTTTGTCAAGAGCCATCCAGCCGACCTGCAAACGGGACCATGCTCAGTGTTTTCAAAGGTTTGGGCCAAAGACAATCCCCAGGTCTGTCTCACGTGACCCCGGTAGCAGCGAGTTAGTGGCACATGGGAAGCCAGTTTGTTTGAAAATGAAGTTTTCTGATGAGAGATGCTTTTGGTATAAAACTAAATTAAAAAGCCAAATAGTGACAGCTTGTTATCGCTCATATCACCGTGTAAATGCGTTCATGCCTTCCAAGTGTACACTATTCTATAAAACTGAGGTTACTGATAATATTTTCTTTCAGATTTAAACCTATGCCTTTCAATTGTGCTCCAGATATTTGTAATAAGGAGTTATTACAAGCTAACATGAGGTCATCAGCCAAATGATAATTTTCTAATGAAAACTTGCATGAGGTGAACGCTAGCTAAACTGGAAATCCCGTCATGCCTGCTGCGCTACACCGCTGTGTGGGACTGCCGATGTCACGTGTCCTCTGGGAACATGTGCCTGCTGTCTGCTAACCTTCTACAGGGACTGAACTACAAGAACATCCAGGGCTGGTAAGAAATAATGGCTCTCTGGTCATACTCTACATTTCAAGGTGCTTAATACTCACATCAAATTTTTAATAACTAAGTGTATTGCTTCCAACTAAGCATACTAATGTAGCCCCAGATTCTCCAGAAGAAACTATTGTTATTTTATTTATTTATTTATTTATTTTTTTGGTGGAACCAGGCATTGAACTCAAGTCCTTGAGCTTGCCAGGGAAGCGCTTATTCCACTGAGCCATCTCCCCAGCCCCAAAACTATTGTTATTAATTCCTATTTTCTACCCCAGTCTGCTCCTGACATTCATGCCAATCTTGAAAGACAGATCTCAGGCCTCAAACCCCACAGGGAAACTTACTTAATCTGACTTTCTGTCTCTTCAGTAATAGAGACATAAAGTTAACTGTACACAATTGCCAACTTTTGACTGCGACACTTGAGACTCCAATCAAAGCAGGACCTTGGCAAAGTGATGCCGACCTTAAAAAAAAACAAAAAAAACAAAAAACTGGCGCCACCTGAGTCCCTCCTGGATCATGTTTTAAGTACAATGAAGAAAGACACTGGGCGTGAGTCTGCCCCGACCTGAAGCTACCACCAGCACCTGGTTCCCCTACAAACTTGAGAGTCACTGGAAATGTGACTGACTGCTCTGTCTGTCAGAGAGCAGGTAAGCCATCCAGTTCCCTCCCCTCACAGGAAAACTCGCTGCAGCCAGGGCCATCAATAATTGACCTGATTGGTCTTGCCACTGAAGAGGAATGACGGGTCTTAGGTCCATAGCCTCCATGGAGGCTGCTTTGTCAGAGGCCCGAGTCTCAGTGGACATCTCAGGCAGGACACTCTTTTCCTTGCTGACACGAGGGCCACATGCA